AGGTTGCTGGATGTATGCTGTGGGTGGTTGTTGATCGGTTGCTGGGTTAGTGCCAATACCTAACCTATATATGATAGGCAGGTGGCAAATGGTCTAAGTTGACTAATGTACTTTTGTTCTTTGTACACAAGACACACAGCAAGTGAGATCAAGCGAGATCGGAAACGGGAGAACTGGGGACCTGATGATGGACCTCGGCTCGGGACGAGTTGATCAACAAGCCAACAGACTGTATTATTCCTAAACTGGAACCTGATGCTCCCTTTTGGTTAGGTAAAGGGTATGGGGGAAGGGGTAGTAGATGAAGTGAAGAAAAAGGTCAGGTTTCGACTACAGACTAAAAGTCGTTCATCCGGGGAAGGAAAGGAAGGTAAGAGGGGATCCCTTGCCGTATAAATAATGAATGACGTGAACCATTTTCTCTGGGCCGTATCGGTACCTTTTTTTCTTGGTGGGCCTCCTGGCCAAGGACACCAGGGAACAAGGATCTCTCTACCGTACGGAACTATGGATCTCCACAAACTGGAGCCTGGCCTTCAGAGATTTTCGCAGAGCCATTCGTGACGGGTTATGTGTGGTGGGCTGATGGCGGGCATGTTATCCGGGTTATGAAAGGGGCCCGTATGGCCCGGGACTCGGCACTCGCCTCTGCCCCTATCGCCGGTTTCTGTGTGCACACACACCCGTGACTGGCACCCGGGCGGTTCTTTTGTTGGTGCTGCAATGCTACAGTACAGGGAACCATCAGCAGGAATGATACATAGATCCCAGCTGCCAGAAAAGAAGCCGCGGTTGGCCGGCATCCCCGACCCTGCCAAGTTTAAGAAAATAAGATTTGCTGCAGAAATAGGATGAACTTCAATGCAGCTACTGACTCGATAAAAAGAAGCTTCTTCGACGTTGTTCTGTGCTGAAAAAAAAAAAAAAAAAAAAAGAGTGGCAGTGGCGGGGCATCATTGACAAAGTGGAAAGGTTAGTAAAGACGGGAAGATGGGACTCCGTCACTCCGTATGCCGCGGCTGTATCCATTATAAATCGAGCCCAGTCTGCGATCGTCGACTGGAGTATGTACTGGAGCCTCTGTTGGTCAGCCTTTCATCTCCACGATGCGCTGATGGGAGGCCGGAACATGGGGGGGTGAATGGCGGTGTCAGGTCCAGTCCTCGGAACGGTAACCTCTAGCGGCTTCAAGATAGCCCACCGGCACCCACCGGGACCACTTTGGGACCACTTTGGGAAGCCAGACCGCAGCGCGTGGAATGGCGGAATGGAACATTACTCATCAGGGGTTGTGGTGTTGTGACAGTTGGGCCATTTATTTAAAAAAGAAGAAGAAGAAAAGACCAATTATTTGCCGGATGTCGAGGTCGTGCTTGACGAGAAAACTCCGGTTTCAGGTGTGGTGTTTTTGTTATGTCAGCGGTGATACTGATGCTCGTATTTGTGCGAGTGCACAACGTGACAACCGATTTCCCCGTTGTTCCCAAACCCGTACCCGCCGCGGAGTGCCGGCTGGCTCGAGCTCCAGCGATCAATGAACAAAGAAGACGTTCGGATGTTGTGCTTGAGTGTTGTGGCCCGCTTAGTCAGTTTTTATGCTGCTCTGCTGAGACAATCGCCAATCGGGCCACTAATATTTCCCCGTCTGGGTTTTGGCGATTGGAGATAGCTTATATCCGGAAGCCGATGATGTTGTCTTGGCTCTTTCCTGGGTGAGGTGCTTTGTGCTGCCGAGGCTCGTCAAAGGGCTGATAACGGTTGCTGAAGTGGTGAGTGACACCGTGTGCCCGTGTCTTGTCTCGATCGCTGTCTGGTTTCACGACCTCTCTCTTCACAACCTTCCCCAGATAATAAATGGCGATCACATTCGGTCAACGGGTTGGCGTTGGACTTGTGCTCATCCTCTTCACATCACACCCCTTTTAGGCTGAGGATAGCCACCCGGGCGGGGTCTTCCCGGTGCATAAAATTCCGTCTTTGCCGCGAATCCACGAACCCAGCCCACCGGTGCACTCCATTGTTTGAATCCATTGCAAGACGCGCGCCGGTATGGAAGCCGGTGATGGTTGCATGTTGCATGGAGCATCTATCGGTGAGCAATGAGCCGAACTTTGTGGCTCTGCCGCTCTGCCGTGATTCCATTCCGCTGAAGCAGGAGCGGGATAGGCCGAGGCTTGGCCGCCGGAACCCACTCGGGCCACTCCTTGTCCACTTTTACCGTTGTTGAGAAATGCAGGAGAACGAAGATGCAGAAGGTGCCACGGCACGGCGGTTGCCAAGTGCCAAGGGGAACATGCAGCCCAACGTCGGGTGGCTCCGTCTCGGTTTGGACTTCAACCATTGAGGCTCATGGAAATCCCAAATTCTTATAAGTCTTTTTATCTCTGTTGCAGTTTACATCCGCTGCATGATGCCATTCCCGAACAAAGCTTTAAAATTTTTCCACTGCCATGTGCGTTTTGCGTGGGCGCTTAGTTTCCACTTCTTGGCAAGGATCCGGGCTCAAGTTTCGAACTTCGGTCAGCGATCCGCTAATTGCCGTGAATAGCCGAGGCATACAACAACAAAAGAACTTTTATCGCTGACACCATCGTCGCTACTGTATCCCAGTGGATGGGAAATTGAAAGAAAAGATTTCATCAGACTAGCGTGGCATGACTGGGTTCTAGGAAGAACGCCTCACCGTTTATTCGACTGTTGTCATCAATCTACATCTTTGGCGTATAGAAAAGATAAAATATTGAAAAGTAAACATAACAAATAGGGGCAAATCTTGGCCAAGCTTCACCTTAGCGCACCCCCCAGTCATCCGCTCCTAAAAGGGTCGCCGCATCTTCCAAGCTCAGCCCTGCGGTTTCAGGGTATACCCTCCAAATCAGGCCATACCCAACCGCGCAAATCACTGCGTACAGGACAAACGTCCAAGACGGCGACAAAGCCTCCATCAGCGGCAGGAACGTTAGTCCAATCACAAAGTTGGCGCTCCAGTTGGTCGCTGTTGCAACACCACTGCCCACCGACCGCACATTCAGTGAGAACAGCTCGCTCTGCATCCACGGCACATTGCCCAGTCCGATGGCGTAGCCAGCCACGTAGATCATGATGCTCGCCAAGATGATGGTAGCCCCGCCCTGGCCTCCCGTCGTCGTAGCCGAGCTCGTTTCCGAATCCGGGAGCTCGATGAATGAGAAGCCATAGCCGGCAAGCACCAGACCTGCCATCATAAAGGGAAGAGACCAGAGTAGAATACGTCTCCTCCCCACCCGGTCAATCAACACCAGGGCAACCAGGGTGAAGGCAAAGTTGGTGACTGCAACGACCAGCGAGATCAGAGTCGGCTCTGAAAACCCGACCATGGTGAATATCGTGGCCGAGAAGTACATGAGCGAGTTCTAAAGAAAAAAATGTTAGCACAAGTAGCCCTCCTTATGAGTGTCACGGTCGTAGCCCGGGTCACTCACAAATCCGCACAACTGCTGAAGTCCCTGGAGGAGACAAGCAATTGCCAACGCCCGCCTATTCCTCCTCACCCTAAACAGTTCCCGCATAGCCTCCATCCACGCGTTCACCGGATTCCCATTCCCATTCCCGACCCCTGTGCCACCAAGTCTCATAGCCATAGCCTCCTCCCTCACCTCAATCTCGATATTCTTCAACACGGCATCCACCTCCCTCCTCGTCGACGGATCCTGCGCATCATCCCCCGCCGCAATCCTCGCAATCACCTCCCTCGCCTCCTCCGACCGGCCCTCCTTCACCAACCACCTCGGGCTCTCGGGCATCCACAACAGGATAACCACCTGACAAACCGCCGGCATCGCGCCCAACCCGACCATCCACCTCCACCCCGTCGTCTCCGGACTACCGTACGTCCCAAAAATCCAGCCCACCACGTACGCCACCACCTGCCCGAGCGTGATAAACACGATATTCATCGTCACCAACCGGCCTCTGTGCGTCGCGGGCGCCAGCTCGGCAATGTACAGCGGCGTCACAAAGCTGGCGGCGCCGATGGCCACGCCGACGACCGAGCGGCCCACCACCATCACCTCGACGGTCCGGCTGGCGGCCTGGCAGAGGGCGCCGATGATGAAGAGGGTGTCGGCGAAGAGGACGACGCGCTTGCGGCCTCGGTCGTCGGCGAGCGAGGAGGCGAAGGGCAGCACGAGCAGGGCGAAGAGGGAGGTGCATGAGGTGATGACGGATTTGTCGAGCGAGGTCAGGGGCCGGTGCGAGAGGGAGGTGCCGATGGAGACGAGGGTGGCGCTTATCACGCCTGTGTCGTCTGGGTTAGGGGAAGAGAGGGTTGTGTTAGTTGCGTGGTCTTTGTGGGTCATGTTCAACAGGGAGGGTACAGGTTGGTAGCACTAGATGGGGAAAGGTAGGCAAGGTGTAGGTGTGTAAGGTAACATACAGCCGAACAGTAGACCGCTTATTCCGGCGGAAAAGGTGAGTAGCCAGATGAAGAGGCCTGGCGGTGATACTTGTGGCTTCCCACCCCGGGACTCATGCGCGTGTTCGACATCGTGGCTGCCATCATGTTGGTCTCCCTCGGTCGACTGGGGGTTGGCGATCAAGGGCTCCTCTGGGTTGTCTGTCATGATGCCGTGTCGTTGCTGCTGTTCATGTCATAAAACTGGACTGATGTTGTCAAGTGGAACTTCCTCAGTCGCAAAGAATAAGGGACGTCTAGTATGGGGTGCGGTAAGGCTGAAGGATGATCGTTGGCAAGCGATATTGTGATGATGTACAGGAGTCGGAGGTCCGGTACCTTGCACTACCGATCATCCACATGTCATGTCTTCAGCAGACGCAGAGGGGGAAGTCGCTGTTAGGTTTCGGGCCACTGATTCGTCGCAGCAGGGACGATCACAGGGATGTCACAGCGGCTCAGTTGAAACGTGCCAGGGGTGGGTCCAGCGCTTGGGCCCGCGTGTTTCTATAGCGTTTCGAAGCTCTGGGCGCTGGCGTGACATAAGAAATTGGAACACCTTGCTGGCCCCTCGGCGATGTCATCCCGTCTGTCCTCCACTTTGTTCTCAAAAAGAAGCTATCTGCATGATGCTCCCCAGATTTTCATATACTTGATCTTTAATCCCGCTTGAACTTTTACCTTATCTCAAGCTTAATCGAACCTCAATTGCTGTTGCGCCCACGACAACGATAACAACAACAGCAATATCACCACGTACGTCACTGTACCTCGGCACGGCACAAAGCCATCCTCGTACTTTAACTGAATTAATCCTCGACACATACGAACCAACACCAACACCCCAATTGACTCCCGGCGATTGCCGAAAGACAGACAGACAACATGTCGTCGCCATACGCAATGCCGCCCCAGCGCGACTCCTGGTTCGCGCCCCTTTCCATCGACCTCCTCGTCAAGGTCCTCAAGACGAGCTTCTTCCACCCCTTCATAGCCTGGATCATCCCGCTCTGCTTCCGGGCTCAGAACATGTTCTGGGACGCGCCACCGATGCTAGTTTCCATCGCATGGGCTTCCATGATCACACTCAGCTGGATCTTCATAACCATCAACAACCGGATCGCCTACGGTTTGCCACGCGAAGTAGACCTTAGCGATGAGGTTATTGTCATTACCGGCGGTGCCAGCGGGCTGGGTCTGTTGATTGCCGAGGTGTATGGCATGCGGGGTGCTACTGTGGCCGTGTTGGATGTCAAGGAGATGGAGAATGGGGAGGCGAGAGGCGTGACGTACTACAAGTGCGATGTGTCTGATAAGGCGCAGGTTGCAAAGGTCGCAAAGGATATTGAGAGAGATGTAAGTCATTATTCCCCTTCTAGTCGACTCTCTCTTGTACAGTTTTTCGGTGCTAACACCTAATCCCAACAGCTCGGAACCCCCACGATCCTCGTGAACAACGCCGCCATCGTTCTCGGCAAACGCCTCCTCGACCTCAGCCTCGACGAAATCGACCGCTCTCTCACCACCAACTTGCTCTCCCACTTCTACACCATCAAGACCTTCCTCCCGCTCATGGCCTCTTCCGAAACGGGCGGCACCATCGTCACCATCTCCTCCGTCATCGGCACCGTCGCCGCCGCCCAGCTGTCCGACTACGCGGCCGCCAAGGCCGGCGTCTCGGCCCTGCACCGCTCTCTGACCGCCGAGCTGGCGCAGTCCCATCCCAACATGCGCACCGTCCTGGTCACGCCCGGTCAGCTGAGCACGCCGCTGTTCTACGGGGTGCAGACGCCCAACAGCTTCTTCGCGCCCGTGGTGGAGCCGGTGGACGTGGCCAAGGAGGTGATTGCGGCCATCGACGGCGGGCTGAGCACCCAGATCGGTATGCCGCTGTATGCCAGGTGGATTGACTGGTATAACGTTTTGCCTGTGGGGTTGCAGAAGATTGCGAGGAGGTTGGCGCAGGTTGATACGTCTATGAAGACGTTTGAGGGGAGGAATAGGGGGGCGGCGGGTGGTGATGAAAAGAAGGGGCAGTGAAGGAAGGACGAGATACATGAATATCATGAGGTGGGAGGGGATCTGCACTCGCGCTGGTCGCTAAAAATGTAATTGTATGGAGAGATAATCAGGTGGCATGCTTCAAAAGCGTATATAGATGACATACCCGACATATGGATGATATTTTGTTGTGTGAACATATCGAAGAGCTATAAGAGCTTGATGAACGAGTAATGACGCTCTAGAAACAAACCGTAGTAGGATTTGACCATCCATGCATGTTCTATCCGTCCCGATCTCAGGTTCGTTTCCTGGTTATCTTGACAGGATTGCTCCTCCCAAAGAATACATGTATATCAGCGTTTCTTCTGTCTAGATTGTTTTGGTCTCAAGGCGCGTCATTTGCTCTCGATCACGGGTTTACATCCTTGGGTTATGGCCTCGCATTGAAGAACGATAAAGCTAATGACTAAATCAACATTTCGAAGTGCATAGACACTACACAACATATCATCAACGAGCATTCAAACTTGTAAACCACAAGCTCCGTCCCTAGCTGTTCTCTCGCCATGTGAAAGACTAGAAGCTCCCGTCCTGTTTGTTTGATACGGTCCATGATTTGTCACTCACTCACGATCACAAGCTCCTTTTTTGTTACAGCCAGCCAGCCCTCAAGCCCATCCCATCGTTCCTTCCCTTATCGGCAGCCCACATCAGCCGACACCGGACAGCAAACAACACTCACTCCCACTCACCCTCGCCGCACCTTCCCTAACTGCCGTCACTTGCCCCTTATAATCCAATCTTCCCTGCCACACATTCAACATACAAGCGCAGTTAGTGTAGTGGTATAGCACTCTCGTTTCCCAGTACCCAACCGACTGTGGAGACTAACGAGGGACCCGGGTTCGAATCCCGGACTGCGCAGTTGGTTGACTTTTTTTCTTCTTTTTTTGCTGATGTGTTGTATCGATCAGACTTGGATGTTTAAGCGTTGGCTGCTAGGAAGTTGAAAAAGGACTAGACCCCAACTTGAGTTCAACTCTTGATGTTTGTTCTTGTAGGGTGACAGGGCATTTGACCATTCTTGTTGAGGTTGCTTGTTTGCAAATCACCTAAAACCACGGACATGAATGAACATCCTAACCCAGCTGAAAGAAGGAGGAGAAACCTTCCAAGACTTTGGGGGGGGGCTATTCTGCAAGTAACTCTGGACGGCGAGGACCTTGCAAGCTACTTCTCGGGGACGGACGGACAAGGAAGAAGAGCCCATAGGCTAGGAATGACTTGCGCAGAAGAAAATGGTGGAGGGGTCGCGCCCGATACACACACAGTACTTTGAAAATTGAGTGTCTGGACAAGGCTTTTACTGCAAGGGGTGGGAGAGTGGGAAAAGGAGATTCTGCGTATTTTATGGCCTTGTTCGAACTTCAAAGGACCTTATGAGCGCAGATGAGGGAGGTAAGGGTGAGGTCGGTAAGAATCAGCTTCGACTGCTTGAGCTATCACCAAGATGGAAAGGCATAAATGGACAATTGGAAAATCAAAGAAAAGAAAACTGGTTCATTCAACCGTGGTATCGTCATCATAACATCCCCCCTTCTTACTCATATCCCATCCATACATATCCTCCAAACTCAACCCCCATCATATGTTATCACTCATTCCCCAAGACTTCCATCTAACTCTCAACAGCCAAAGCCCTAACACCAACCAACAACTTCCCATCAGCACTCACGCTGACAACCCAGTACTCCACCCGCACACTGTCCTTAACAACTCGGTAAACCCTCACATCCCTCCCCTCGCTCGCCTCCGTCACCGCATCGATCAAATCGGTATACTGTCCGTTGCGATCCCAGTCCACAGGGTCAGAGATCTCGATCTCGGCGTCGGCGGGATTGGGGTGGTTGATTAGGGAGGCGAACTTTTCTGTGTTTTCGTTGCATTATGGTCAGCATGGCTTCTCCGTTTTTTTTGTTTTTTTTTTGATCTCCCCTCCTACCCTTCTCCCTCTCCTCTCTATCCTGCTTCTCCTCCCCTCCCTCCCCCTTCATCCCTCACCTCCCACCACTCCACCCCCCCTCCCCCTCCTCTTCCGCCACCCATCCCGAAGAAGAGAAAAAAAAGATAACTTACCCTCATCCGGAAGCACCTCCTCCCCAAACCTCAACGCAACCCCCTCAAACGGCTCATCCGCATCGCTAACATAGAACTTATCCCCCTTATCCAGCAGCTTGGCGATCGGAGACGGAAGGGCAACCCCCTCGTCGCGCGTCTTGAACCCGTTGCCGCCGACTTTTTGCGTGGCCGGATCGGGGCGGTCGCGCGGGTAGCCAACGGAGGGATCCTCGTTGGCTTTGTTGAGGAAGGCGAGGTAGGACTCGTCTGAGGCCATTTTTGATGTTGTTGTGGTGAATGTGCGGCGCTTGGTGGTCGGAAGAACAGTAGTTGATGATGCGAGGGGTATCGTCGGAGAGATGGTAGTAGAGAATAGAGAAGTGGTGACGGCCGTGGTGTTGCGCAGACGTGGAAGGAGTTGTTGAAGCTGAGCTGGTCGTCGTTGCAAACGGAAAAGCGTAGATGATCGAGAGAAAGTTAATCCAGCGGGTGTCTGGTATTCGAGAGAGAGAGATGGGTATTAGCTTTGTTGTTTGTTCGAGATATTCGTTTCAGTTCAAAAGAAGCAACTAGAATAGATCTGGGTCAGGGTCAGGGAAGTTCAGACCATAGTTGTTGTGTGTCGTTCGGAGGAATGCGCGGAAGGGACGACGACGACGACGACGACCATCAGTCAGGTGGGCTGTGTGCCGGTGGAAGGGTCCGATGATGTAACCTGCAGTAGCTGAAAACCAATTAGGAATGGTGGATCTGACTAGAAGTGGGGTAGTATCAGCCAATCAGAACTTGGGCTGGTAGTGAGGTCGATCAGGTTTGATATTCGAAGCTTCAGTAAGGACATCAAAGACGACTGAAGAAAGATTAGAGGTCTAAAAGAAATCCCAAGAGCAATCTATGGTATCTGAGAGAGGCTACATATGTAAAAGAGAGCATCAGGACGTGTAAAGTGTGTGAGGTGGGAAGCTGACGAACACTGGGTTGAATGAAGAAGAGCAGCTTCAATACAGCAGAACAGGCAACGAGTGTCTCCAAAGCATCGCTCCATCCAAAAGGATATTAGACTGGGTATATACGATTGACCGTGTGTTCGTTCAGTCAGAGATACAGCAACCAAACGCAAGGTTCAAAAAAAAAAAAGCTTGAGCATAGCGTTCTCGGCCGAGAAGTCATGGAGAATTGTTCATCAAAAGTGTGCCAGACGCAGAATCTTCATGTTCACATCAAATCACACATTCACTCGCATCAAGATACTCTCTGGCAGTACATTGGATCAACGTTTCATTGTTCTTCAACAGCTTTTTATTAAGCCGTAAATGCTAGGTATAGTCCCAATTCCCGACCGACCCGAAAGAGCAACGAAAAAACCTTGACACCAATGCAACCCGACTAACAAGGAAATCAACTGCAGCAGCCAATTTACGAGCTGGCAGCGAGATCCTTCTTGAGGGTACCCTGGTACTGCTTCTTCTCGGCAGGGGTCTGGAAAGCACCATGACCGAACTCCGAGGAGGTGTCGATCCACTTGAGCTCGACCTTCTCGAGGGCCTTGCGGGAGGTGTGGATGAACATGGACTTGCGGAGAGTCATGACTCTCTTCTTGACACCGGGAACAGAGCCCTTGACCATGACGAAGTCGTTGTTGATCTCGCCGTAGCGGACGAAGCCACCCATGCTGGAACAAAGTTAGTTTTGCAGTCTTTGATTTCTGGAGAAACGGGAATACATACGGGGTGATCTTCTTCTTGGTGACATCGACCTCGGTGGCAGCAGAGTCCTCAGCATCGCCCTTGCCAATGCGGTAGATCTTGTGGTTGACCGAGGTACGGTGGTGGTAACCGGCCTGACCAGCGCGAGCAACAGTCCACTGGACGTGGGAAGGATGCCAGGCACCGATACAGGCGACCTTGCGGAGACCCTTGTGAGTCTTGCGAGGAAGCTTCTTGGTGCCCCAACGAGCGGTGACACCGGTGAAACCGTGACCCTTGGTGACGGCAATGACGTCGATAACCTCGTCCTTCTCGAAGATGGAGTCGATGCCGACGGGCTTCTCGAAGAGGCCGTGGCCGAACTCGACCTTGTCGGCGACGGAGCCACCGTTGATCTGGATCTCCATAAGGTGGGCCTTCTTCTGCTTGAGGGGAGTCTTGCGGATCTGGGTGTGGGCAAGAACACGGACGACAGTGCAGTACTTCTTGATGCGCTCGAGCTCGCGGGTGATGGCGGCACCGCTGTTCTCGGAGTGCTTCTTGACGTACTTGGTGAAGGCCTTCTTCTTGGACTTGTACCAGTTCTTGTAGAAGCGGCGCTTGACCTCGTCGGACAAGTGCTCAGCCCAGACGGTGGTGAGGGAGCGGAGACCGCGGGGAGTCTCGATGTACTAATATCGGGGTTAGATCACACGGTTGCGGTAGGCCGTATCCGGCAGCTGGACAGGATCAAAGACTTACGCCAACCAGACCCACAACGATCATCTGCGAGAGATGTTAGCCATTGACACAATAAGAGCCAAGCGGGCTGCGTTGTACGTACAGGAGGGGTATCAATGATGGTCACAGCCTCAACGACCTCCTTCTTGTGAGCCTTGGCGCCGGGGCGGTCGAGGTCGCGGACGATGGTGGTCATGCCAGCCTTGTAGCCCATGGCGGCGGTCAGGTGGACGGGCTTCTTGGCGTCATCCTTAGGGAACCTGTCATGAACACGCAACCGGTCAGCCACTCTGTTCGCAAACTCTATTGCCCAAGTTCCAATCGCAAAAGATCCAAACTGCTGGCGATAGTGTTGTCGATGGTGTCAGAAGGTGAGCTTGACTTACGACTTGACCTTTCCCCTGTGGCGGGCCGCGCGCTTGCGGGGAAGGTAGGCCAGCGAACCGTGGCGGGGAGCCTCGTACTCTGAAGCATCGAGTCAGCATGAAGGACGTTCAAGTTGCCATGAAGTCCGAGTCGCGATCACGCAAGCTCCCAAAATCCAGTCGCCAAAAAGTCGAAAATTTCGATGTCGCGACGACCGTCTCTCGGAAAGCTGCTCCATCCATTCTCTCGAATTCGGGATTGCGTGGACAAAATCGACAATGACCGTATTTCTGGCGGCGACGACGACGACGACAAGGCGTTACTTACTACGGTGAGACATGACTGCTGATGATCCCAAGTACCCGGGTTGTTGATGGTCGAGTGGGAAAAAGTTCACTACCGCGAAAACAAAATCAAGAAGTATCGCCAAAGAAATTGGACCTGCCAAATTTTTGTGTGAGTGGTGTGGATTGGACCGTGCACGGGCCACAAGTGCAGCGGAGCCCTAACTTTTACGCGAGCCCTGTCCGCCTTCCTGTTCCCCTCGAGGCCGCCCAGCCAACCAGCGATGCCCAGCCAAGCCCAGACCAATCCACCCCACAGAAGCGGCTTGGTTCAGTTAGTGAGCTTGGCGGGCCATTAACTAGTGGCACATTGATGACAGGGTAAAGTCCTGTTGATATGGCAGAACGTGACTTTACCAGCCCTGCGTATAAGTCCGTCATCGTCGCCGTTGTCGTGGTACATTCACCGATGGAATACGGGATGAAAGATTCTTTCGGCTCCTGCTCGTGGCAACCGACCTATTCCGTCTAGCCGGTAACAAAGTTCTTCACGTGTTGAGCCCCAGCCTTTGTTGTGCCTCCGCTTAGCTCCGTCTTAATCGCAAGGTTGGTTCTCCGAGTTTGGCGTCCACGCCCACGGCTTCTAGAAGAGTAAACTCTTGTGGTTTTGAATAGCTAGGTTGCACTGTTTGGATCATAGTTCTCCATCTCTGGTCTTTCGGGTGCTTCTTCGATTCATGACAACAACATAAAAGCTGCCATCTGCTGAACAACTCTACGCCTCTAGGCTGTGGACAAAGGCATGAACACCAGTGTCGTAACTTTAAAACACGTGGGCTGGCTTGACATCCATAACAAGGCGGGCATGCATGGTCAAAGGCGTGCTGGCTGCAAGGAACAACCAAGATCGTATTAGATTCCATCTCCTTGACCCTTCAGGCCGATGTACCTTTCAGGCATTTCAATAATACCATGTCCCATACGGCACTGATCACGACCTTGCAATTCCGATTTGAACAGTGTAACGATAGTCATAATCGTGTTCTCTAACTAGCCTCTATGGCAACGCAGCGAGTTCATTTCCGCCTCTTAAAGGATATTCCCACTCCCTTCTCGCTGTCGACTTTCCAACAGAAGACATACACACGCTTCTATTCCAAACACAAGTCATAACAATGTATGTACATCGGATTCCGCTCCTTCTTCTCCCTCCTCATCTCCTACCGGTCAGTCAAAACGTAGTAAAATCGGGCAATTCGCCCCAGGGGTGTTTAGCTTTTCGTGTCCCAGTCTCCATCATCATGTGGGTGATATGGTAGGCTACTGTCTCGGACCAGATGAAATAAACAAGTCGACGTAAATTCCCACCCATAAAGAAAACCATCATGACATTGACAGTATCGATGACGTAATCAGTTACTCTCTGACTTTTGTCCCATGATGCCGTTGAAGCTGCCGCTCGTCGAGGCTCCGTTCTTGGACTCGTTTGCTGCAGGGCCGGATCCGGACGAAGGACCGGGAATGATGCCGCCCTTCTTGTCCTCCTCTCCGCTATCGTCATAATCCTCGTCAACGTCCATTTTGCGGGCCGCACGCTCAGGCTCATTGACGATAGGGGGATGCTGGGCTGGAGGGTGATCCATCCGTCGGTCTTCGGGGGCGGCCTGATGGGCTGGGCCTGGGCCTTGCTGCTGGGGTCCGTGGCCTTGCTCGTGGATGAGGTTCTGCATCGGAGCCGGACCTTGCTGCATCGGCGGCAAATGGGCAGGGGCGGAGTGAGACTGGGGATGATGAGCGGCCTCCGAAGGATGGTATCCCTCATTTTGGTGCCGCTGCTCCTCGGCCCGGCGCATGTCCTCCATGCGACGCTGTTCCTCGACCCGGCGCTGCTCCTCAACTCTACGAGATTCTTCCATACGACGCTCGTCGAAGCGACGAGCCTCCGACGAGTTGCGACGAGCATAGGGCGGCTCCATTCGGGGCGGGGTTATCGAAGGGCGGCGATGCCTAGGGTCATCCATACGAGCGCGAACCTCCTCCGTCGTAGGCTTCTTGACCTCCCGTTCATCTTCCCACTCACGCATTCTCTTGGGGCCAACCGAAGGAGGGCGGGGATCATGCTCCCTCTGATGAGGAGGTTCACCAGCCATACCTGGCTGAGGTGGATGAGGAGGGCCTTGCTCAGGGCCACCAGGACCGCC